ATTTTTATTTTAGTATATTAATTTCAAATTTAGTCAATAGATTCCTTGCAAGTTAATTTTTTTTTTACGGTATTTTTTGTTTTAGACTGAAAACTTTGAACTCACTTAGTATAAAATATTGAATCGTTGTTTTTTTTTCTATTTAGAAATTAACCGTGCAACTACTACCCTAAGCATTTACTATCTATTTATTTTTTTTTGAATATTTTAAAATTTACTTATTTTAAATTAAATAATTAAAATTATGTTTTGGCTTAACCACTCAATGATTCAAATTAATATAGTTTTTTATTTTAATAGTATTCACTCTTTTGTAAATAAATATATAAAAATTAAATTCATATTTTTTCAAAAATCGATATTCTCATCAACATTAAATAAAAATAAAAAAATTATGCATTCAATTCTATGTAAGCTTTTAATAATTGTTATTTTTGTTTTTCGACACAATATAATGAAATACTAAAGCTTTTTTTTTTAAAAAAATTATTCAATTAGTTTTTTAGTTAATAATCCATGGATTAATAAGGATAAATCATTTTTCTTAAGAAAAAATTATGAAAAAAAAACAAATAAGAAGTAGTTAAATACAAAATTTTTGATTTAAAAATTATAAATAATTTTTTTCACCTTTGATTTCATATATTTTTATATATTCATATCATAAAACAGTACTATCAAGCTGAAATAATTTTTCTAAATGATTTTATATATTTTATGCAGCCTATGGCGTAGCTTGGGTAAAAAAATAGTAAAAAACTATAATATTTTCTTGTCAAATCTTCTCTTTTGCCTATAAAAGGAGAATAATTAAAAATATTTTCTTACTAAAGCCTAAAACCTTGCATGTACCCAAAAAAGTTGTAAAACCTTGCTTGACTTCTTCTGTTACAAAATATTCTAACAACCGATCGCTAAATTTCCTAATAACCCAATTGGTCAACCTAACTAATTTCAAATGTCCTACTTTCCCACAAATTCTTTTGACTTTTTGTTTTCTTGATAAGTTAAATAACTGAAACTATTATGCTTCTCAAATCTCACGTCTCTAAAAGTCATGAAAGTAGCTTGCTTGGTGATTGGCTTATTCTCAATTTTTACATCTCTAACCCCCTGTTTGGATAGGGATGAAAGTGAGAGAGAAGAAAGAAAATGAGGATGGAAATGAAAGTTTTTTCTTGTTTGGACTGTAGAGGAAACCAGAGGAAAGAAAAAAAAAAAATGAATGCTTTTTTCATAGGCCTAGTTTCCTCGGGAGGAAACTGGAAGGAAACCTTAAGCTGACCTATTTTTTTTTGCTTTCTCGTTTTTACCATTGTCCTAGCCTGTCCTTCTTAGCTTTTTTCAGGTTCAACCCTCCTTCGAAAGTCCCATTTCTATGACCAATTCTTTTGTAATTGCTCATGGGACTGACCCCTTTAGGCCTTAGCTGTGTGTTGTCAATTTTATTTCAACTAGGTAACTAATCTAATCTGCTCCATAAAACAATATTATGGAACTTCATTTGATTTTTTTTTCTTTTTTAATTATGAGGGTATTCAAAACTCTAGATTAATTTTCGTAATCCTTTTTTACGTATAAAATAGACACGATTACTTAAATATTTTTTTTTATACATAAAAATTCAAACTTAATATCATTTATTTAAACGATTAAAATTTTTTCTATTCAAGTCAATTTTTTTTTGTTCATTTTAATCTCTTTTGACCTATGCTATGTTTACTAGATGCTTACTATTGATAATCAAAGGTGATCATTTTTGAATTTAAAATCATTTATTTAAATGACTAAAGCATCTTCTAATATGTTTGATTTATTTGAATCTCCTTTAATCTAAATTATGTTTACTAGGTGCTTACTATTGAAGATCAAAGGTGGTCACAAATTTATTATAAGTATTTAAATATAAAAATATAATCCTAAGGGCATTATAGTAAATATACAATAATATATTTTCTTTTCTTTCTTTTTTTTACAATTATCCAAACAAAGGAAATATATTTTTTTTCCTTTTCACCCTTATCCAAACAACAAGTGAAAAATGATTTTCTTTCTTCTTACTTTCTTTCCTCTCAAAAGGAATTATCTAAACAAGAGGTAAAGGACATGAAAATGGCTTCTATCTAGCATGTTCGGTAGTTGGCTGATTAGTCTGGGTGGTTCTAAAAGTAACTATTAAAAGTAAATATTCAAATAATAATAATAGTAAATAAATAAATAAAGCTTGCTAGTGCATATACTATACAAGGCAACTGGGGCGTAGCTAGAATTTGTTGTTAGTGGGTGCAAAATATTTTAACTCGTAGAATTCATAACAAAATCTACAGAATAGAACTATAACTATTGTTAATATGCTATAAGAAATGACAAGAAGAAAAGAAAGTAATTTAATTTTAAAATTCAACTTTAAAATTATACGAACTACTTGTACAATTGTCCTTCATACTTTAAAAACATTGCATGATTGCTTCGTTGGGAATAACATCAAACACATCTCTCTCAAAATATGTGATGAGACTATCATTCAACAATTGATCTCCCATTCGATTCTTTAGACGATTGTTTATGATCTTCATTGCAGAAAATGCTCTTTCAACACTTGCAGTGACAACCGGTAATATCAATCCTAACTTCACTAGTAAATAGACCAAATAATAAACCACATTCTTCTTTGTTTGAACTAGCTTTTAAGTAAGAGCACCAATTCTATTAAGCATAGAAAACTCATTTATTGGAATGCATGTCAAGAATATAGGTCTCCAACTGATTTTCTAGTAATATAAGCTCCACTAGTGAAAAGTCACATGGAATAAATTGAGCAAGACAGATCAATTTATCTTTTTGAAAAACAGAAAACGAATCATTTGGACTTAAGCATGTCATACAAAGAAGCAACTCAGTATTCAACTTAGTGAAACGATTATTAAGCTCTTGAAGTTGTAAATTTGTGACATGATAAACTTTGCGTTGTGATTGCCCTTTCATCTGGAAGTTGTCATCCATGTTGGGAATAAGAACACCATGTTTCTGACAAAATGAAGAACCTTCAGATAACAGATTATCCCCACCCGTCATCTCTCAACACTTGTAGCCTTTGTTTTTGATAGTTTCACTAATTTCATTACATTGACAATAACTTGCTCTTTTCTTTGTAAAGCAGCTGATAATTCATTTGTGATGCCTAACACAATTTTCATCAAATGCAAGCTAAATATGAAATCAAATGACTGTAAAAGCTCTAATAAATTAGAAGCTTCAAATCTTTGCTTTAAACTTATCAAGCACGCCTATTACTGATGAAAACATAGTAATCAAAGATGCAAGTGTACCATAATGAGAACCCCATCATGTATCTCTTGCTCGTTTAAGGGTAGTTTCTTGATTCAATCCATGCCGACTTTTAAGTTCACCATTTGCTAATGCTTCAGAAATATGAGCAGCTTGGAGTTCTAAAAGGATATCTCCCCATTTGCAAGAGGCCCCAACAACATTTATTAATTTAGTTGCTATATTAAAAGACGTCTAACATGAACAAAACAATGAATATAGCATGTAGATTGATTCTCCCTCATGATGAAACTTTTTAATCCATTGAATTCTCCTCTCATGTTACTAGCTCCATCATAACGTTGACCTCCTAACCTCGACATACTTAATCCATGTTTGGAAAATAACGAATCAATTGTAACTTAAGCAAAGAAGTACTTGTGTCATGAACATGAATAACGCTAACAAATCTCTTAACTACACGTCCTTCCTTGTCAATATAACATAACATAACATAACAATCGTTTGCTCTTTCACAGATATATCACGAGACTCATCAACCAAAATTGTAAAGAAATCATCTCCAAATCATGAATAATTGCATTAACAGTTTCATTAGCAAAAGCATTAATAATGTCATGTTGAATATTAGGGGATGTTACCTTCAAATTACTTGGGGCATTCCGTCCAACAACAGCATCAATTTCATCATTATGCACCACTAAAAACTTCAAGAGCTCGAGAAAATTTCCCTGATTTTTTGAATCATGATATTCATCATGTGCACAAAAAGCAAGACCTTGCCTTAAAAATACCGAAGACAATCAATTGAAGCACCTAAACGAATTCGTTATTCTTTCCTCACTTGATCTGAATGCCTATTGAGAGCCACTTCAATATGTTGATCTTGTTTCATCAAAGCTTCACAATTTTTCCCTGCTTGATTATGGGCATTTCTAGGACCTCCTACATGAGCATCCAACCTGTCCTTTTTGTTCCAAGCATCAAAACCTTCACTAACAAAAGAATCACCACCTGCTTGTTTGCCAATCTCGTGTCTAAAAAGATAGCAACATGAACAAAAAGCAGCCTCCTTTTCTTTACTATACTCCAACCAATTTCCATATTCTTCGAACCAATTTTCATTAAAATGACGCAAAGAACTTTCAATTTTTCGTGAAGTTATGATTGAATGTTTGGCAATGTCCTTTTTGTAAGTAGGCCCTTTGCATTTTGTCTCTATCATTGAGATGATATTCTGAAATTCTAATCCACAACCCAGGATTTACAGGTAGACTATTTAAGTCAACCTCAACACGTGTTTGCCTTGAGCTAGATTTCGTATTCTCATTCTGACCGCTGCCTTGATGCTTTAGATTTTTTGTGATTGATGGTTGATCAATAGGAAAGTTTCTTCTAATCACAAACTTATCCAGAACTGACAAAATAATAAGTATTTGCCTTATTAGAAAAATTTAAATTACTATCAATTTATCACGAATATATCATAAATGGACTAGATAAATGTTTATTGAATCATTATAAAATATCAATGGATAATTATTACTCTTTAGAGATTTAGAATAAAAAAGTGTCAAAATAAAAATAAAAAAGTGACAAAAAATTAGGGAAGGAAATAAGAACATAAAATAACTTTTAGTTCTCAAATATTGAAAAATAAAAATAAATACTTACAATTAAATTACATGTCGATTGACTATAGAATTTGAGACCCTTTAATCTTTATGCTCCTTCCTCTCTTGCCTGCTCTCTTTGCTATTTCCTCAAATCTCTTTGCATCTGTTGAGTGTTGAGACTGTGTTAGTGATGGCCGTTCTTCACCTAATCGCCAATTCAGCTTCCTGGTTAAGTATTTTTTTTTTTTTTTTTTAAATCTTCAATTATTTTGTCATTGGTATTTGGCGGATCACATTTTGAGGCCTTAATATGATGGCCATTTTAAGCATGTCAATTATCTGGTTACAACAGAACGAATGGGCTGTGTATCTGCTTTTTAATTCCTTGGGATCTTAAGATGAGCCATGGCTATCTCTCCCTTATTGGATTGCATTAATATTTAATGGGCTTTTTATTCTTCTTTTTCTCTAATTAAACTCAAGAGTCAATCGGTCATAGAGCAATTTTTTTTTTTTTTGGTCATCAGCGGAGTCATAGAGTAATTTTTTTTTCTTTAATAAAGTAGTCTATATATTTGATGCTTTTATAGAATTTTAGTAGGGTCAACTGATCTCACTGGTCTTTTTCAGCTACGTACCAAAATGGTGGTGAAGCAACTCCTCATCAAGCATTATTTTCTAAATGGTTCTTGACGTTTAAATCAATCTTGCTAGGAGGCAACTTGTTGATCATAGAGGATAGCATCATGAGCATTGCACCTCAACGTAGAGAATTTCAAGAACTATCATAAATGAAAAATATTCCCATCCTTTCAGCTATTTTTGAAACCTGGAAATAATGCACTTGGTAATAATGAATCAAGAGAACTAGGTCTGAATTAGCTTGGCAAGCCTTTGCCGTAAACACTGAAGTAATCTTTTCATTACCCACCACCAACAGTAAACTATCCCAAGGCTTTGGTGATGTGAATATGATATGGGCATATTAGAAACAAATGTTGATCAAGTTTTATTGAAGACTAGCATAGGTTTTTGTGGACAAAATTGAGATTCAAGGTTTTTTTTTTTTTTTTTTTTTTTTTTTTTTTTTTTTTTCCGAGTTGAAATCGGCTCTTAAAAATAATCCATACGTACAAAAGTTCCCTAAAAAATTTGCCTTAAATTTGGCTTTAAAAGCCTCTCTTTTTGCACCTAAATCGTGGGAATCATCTAGTATACCAGATTGCCAACGTCGAACGGAGAGAAACGTTCTTTTTTGCTTTGAGAGTTAAAAATTCCCTTTTATCTCTTGTATTTGTATGTATGAGAGTTGATCTAATTGTCTTTACCTAGTATTTGAATTTAAAATAGTTATAAAAGATTTTTCCACCTAGGACACTCAAGACAAACCTTATCCCTCGCCTATTTGCCACTTGGGAGCTATCTAGACACACATAACATCATCTTAGTCAAGACTATTTTGGTATACCAGTTTGAACTTGCCGTCAAAAAATAAAATAGCCTCTAAAAAATGATCAGTTTTTGGCCTGCACCTATATAAAGATATCTTTTTCGCCTTTCCAAGACAATGCAATCCCATTATATCTAATAACACATTGAATTTTCTCTACACTTTATATTAATTGCATCAATTCTTTATCACAAAAAGAGCTAGATTAATTTCTACTAAAAACTTGAGCCGTTCATTTTGTAATCCACTCTTAGTTGCAAGTGTTTATATTTCATTCATTGTGAGTGAAAACATTGTTAAAAGATAAATGACACTTTAACTAAAGATTTTGGTTAGTGAGCTTTGAATAGCTTGATTGATTGGGCTTTAATCTTGAGCTTATGGGAAAAAAAAAAATTGTAAAAAGGTGAGACCTCATCCTTGAAGAAGACCAATATATATCTTTCTGTATATATATATATATATATATATATATATATATATATATATATTTGTGTTGTGTTGTGATTGTTTACAAGATCAAAAACTGGACTAGGTTGAGATTGTTGTTGTGATATTTCAAAAATGGATTTAAGTTAGTATAGCTTTAGTTTTACTACTAAATTCACCCCCTTTTAGGTGCTGGGCCTTTCTTATGTGATGTTCTCAAATCTTTTTATTCTTTAATGGTTGTGACTTTAGTATCCCAAGGTCTAGGAAGGACCTCAAAATTGTGCTCACCACTTCGGGTTCCTTAATGGTTTTTCCTAGATTTTGTAATCCATTGACAATTGTCACGGATCTTGTGCTCATTTCTTTGATGCCTTTAAATGGCTCATTGTCAAACATCTCAAAGTCACACACATAAGAGTATTGACTCTAGATTCTTTGACTTGAGTTCTTTCATAATAATCGTCAACGTCCTTCATATATCATGAGCCACGGTGAGAATGAAAATCCTACTAAATTGATTATCAGATAAAACAACAAGTAAAACATTAAGAGCCTTAATGTTAAGAGAAAGTTTCCTTATTTTGACGCCACTAAGTTTTTTCATGAGTTTTCCTCTAGCAATACCATATATGATTTCGATAGTAATGCTGAAGCCGTTTTTAACAACATCCCACATGTCACGGTCTATATGTAAAGAATAGGCTCTCATTCTATAACTTCAATAAAGATAATTTGAATCATCAAACCAAGGTTCTCTAAAGTGATGAATTTCTATTCAAAATCCCAGCTTTGATACCAATTTTAGGATCAAGAGGTAGGGCTAGAGGGAGTCAATAAACCTTTATGAGAACTTGTATAAAAATAAAAACTTGAAGATAAAACTTGATAAGACGATATATATTATGATGAAGAACTTACAAGATAAACAACATAATAAAGTAAAAAGTGTAGAAATAGAGAGATCAAAAATAGTGATTTATCCTAATTGAGCCTCTTGCTTACTTTCGGTCTCTAAGCTCCACTTGAAATTTTAAATCCACTAACATTATTCTTAGGAGAGAAGATAAAGCCTTATAAAACTCCTTTTTCTAGACTCAAAGCAATCTACTTGTTATGGTGTCAAACTCACTCTAGCCAAAGTGTATCCCCACATTACTTTTTATATTTTATAAAGACAACAACACTCAATGCGAGTATATGATACAAGTTAAACTAATTACTCAATAACGAGTATATGGCTTTTAAACTTATTCCAGCTTACCTCTTACTCACCCATAAAAGAGTGAGGAATTTTGCCATTGATTGACTTAATTATCTATAAATTTTTTAAAACCACCACGATTTTTGGGTCATGTCAACTCGGTTGACGTCGACCCATTGCGAGAGGAAGCTGAAATAAGGAGTTGTCACCTAGCTAATCGAGGAGAACTAGGAAACCCTAAACATACTAGTCTACATAGATATCTAGATAAAGTGTCGGTTACGTATGGGGAAGACATGATGTCACTACTATCCCGTCCTACTTAAAGTAGGCTACATTATTTATTCATGAATATAAAAATCTAGTTTTTTATTCCATTATACTTCTATGCCTATTCAAATGAATTTATTTGATAAAATATGAGACGAGATGGTTCGGGTGTGGAATAGGGTAGTTTGGACGTTCGAGCTTACCCATGGCCAATACACCCTACCCAAATGAGAAAAAGGTAAAAAATTAGAATTTTGGCTATAGCGAACACAACCTAAATTGAAAAATAGGTGAGTTTCTAAAGATAGATAGCCTTTTATTGGCATGAGCTATAAGTCATCGATAACTTCACTCACATAAGTGGAAAGCCACCGACAACTTCGAGTCATGGATATAAGAAGTTACTAACAACTTCGTCACGGAGATGGGAAGTCACCGGTAAGTTTATGTCACTCAAACGAGGAGCAAATGAATGTTTTGAACGATCGTTGGCGGCTTCATCACATAAGCGGGAAGCTATCTATGGCTTATTTTCAAATATGCAAACAATTAAATAAAAATATTTCAAAGCCCTTCGACGGCTTCGTCACATAAGTGGGAAGCTACCGGCGATTTATTTTCAAACATGCAAAAAATTAAATAGAAATATTTTGAAACCCTCCGACGACTTCGTCACATAAATGGGAAGCTACTAGCGACTTATTTTCAAACATACAAACAATTAAAAAAAATATTTCGAAGCCCTTCGGTGGTCGCATCACATAAGTGGAAAGCTATCGACGACTTATTTTCGAATATGCAAAAAATTAAAAAAATATATTTCAAAGCCCTTTGGTGGCTTCGTCATATAAGTGGGAAGCTATATCGTGACTTATTTCAAACATGCAAACAATTAAATAAAAATATTTTGAAGCCATCCGATGGCTTCGTCACATAAGTAGAACTCTACCAATGACTTATTTTGATGAAATAAGGAACAAAAAGATAAGAAATGAAAAACGAGGAATTAAAAATAGAAACAAGAAAACATAAAATATATATATAAAAAAACATAATAAATCCAAGTACCATCATCCCCTTTAATTCCATATTGCAAACCACAATCAATCAATCACCCACCAAAAGCAAATACCAATTATATTTTAAATGTGTAGTAGTTTTAGACTTTTTACCAAAAAAAATCTTATGATTCCGGTATCCGGTTTGGAATATAACTTACTCTCTTCGTTCTTGATGATAATTAAATATTTGATTAATCGAAAAAGGAGAGTAACTATTTGTTAGTAACGTGTGGTTAGGATCTTACTAGAGCGGTCAAAAAAACTCATCTAAAATATGTTTCTTCTCAAAACAAATCAACCAAGACAACAACAAAACCATAACAAAGGATTTTTTTTGATCCTTTTTCTCTTTGTTTTTTTTATATAGGGTTTTGTGACTATTTTTAAGACCGAGCTTAGAGGGACCGGTGTGGTGTGTTTCGGACGTAGGCATGAGAGCCTGGAGAGAGGTATTGTGGAGGATGGTTGGCAATGTGTGTGTATGGCATATGGAAGGGGGCTGTTATGGCGTGTTAGGGGGGTTTGAAATGGGGTTATTGTAGGGTGTTTTTCAAGTTTGGAATAGGGGTTGCTTGCAGGTATTGGTTGGTCAAAAGGTCAGTATGGGCTAGTGTTGCATGTGGAGGTCGACGAGAGGGTTGCAGGGGTGTGGAGGCCGGAAAGATAAAGGTTGACGAGGCTAGTATAGGTGAGGTTGGTTGTGGGCGTGGCGTTGTGTGTTTGGGTAGAGGTTGGCCGACAAAGTGGTCGAGAGGGTTATATGGACATGGAGTGTGGTGCTTGGCTGGTAGGCATATGGGAGTGAGGCTCGGCGGGGGATTGGTGTGTGGGTCGTTTGAGTGTGGCGAGAGAGGCACTAGAAAGGTATGTGTTACGGGGGTTGTAGGCAAGGAAAATGGGGTTAGCATGAGACTAGAAATGTGTGTGTTGTAGGGTTCATAGGCAAGGTCAAAGCAAGGGAAAGGGGCTAGCATGAGCTTGTGAGGAGGAGAAGTGGTAAGTCTGTATTAGTGAGTTTCGAATGAAGAGGAAGTTTCAATCCGGATGGAGAGAGGCGGTCGCTAGTGTTTTAAGTTGATGATGAACGAGTGTTTGTGATTAAAAAAAATGCATGGGGCTTTATATAGGTAGGTTTTTTATGGTAAAAATCCAACTTGGTCCTTGGTTTTCCACAATCCCTCAATTTAGGCTCAATTTTGGTTTTTTTTTTTTAATTTTAATTGAAACCCTATAGTATAAATAATTGAGACTTTTTATTTTAATTAGTTTCAATTGTATGTTTCTTTAATTTAAAAAAGGATTGAAGCTTTGAATTCTTTAATTAAGCCCTCAATTGTCTCCTTTTTATTTCTAAACTTTTTATTTTTTCCAATTGACCCTCTTTTTTTAGACTTAATCTAAGCTAACTATCCTAATTGCTTCTTTCTTTATTTTTATTTTTTTTATTTTTTATTATGTATTTTTTTGTTTTATTTTTTTTATTTTGGTATTTTTCATAATAATAAATAAATAAATATGGATAAATAAAAAAATAAAAATTAGGTGCTCACAATTGTCTCTTTTTTACAATGCTTATAGTGCAAAGTCATTGAAAAGAAAAGTTTTCCTTGGTTTTGCATAGTAAGTTTGTAAGGAAATGAAAAATAGGTCAAAAATATACAAAGCAAAGCAACAAGCAAATACAAAAATGAAATAGAAAATCATTGAACCTAATGGTCAACTAACTATTTGGCGAGAAAATGACCGATTGTTAATTTTGTAAGGTATGATAGACCATTTTGACGTCACTTGGATGTGCCAAACCACTTTGATCTTGAAAGATATGACGGACCACTTAAACTTAGAAGATGTGACAAGACCACTCTAATTTGAAAGACGTGATGACCACTCTAACCTTATAGGATGTAACGGACCACTCGACTTTGAAAGATATGACGGACCACTCTGGTTTTGAAAGATGTGACGAGACCATTCTAATCTTGTAGGACGTGATAGACCACTTTGATTTTGAAAGATGCGACATACCACTCTAATTTTAGAAGACGTGTTAGACTACTCTAATCTTATAGGACGTGATAGACCATTCTGATTTTGAAAGATATGACGGACTACTTTTGACTTTGTAATATGTAATGGACCATTCGACCTTGTAGGATGTGATCGACCACTCGACAGTTGGCTAATTCCATGGTCGGTGAAAGAGTTGAGAGGATTTTTAGGATTGACGAGGTATCATAAAAAGTTTAAAGAAATTATAAACTAATCTATAAACTACCGACATAGTTGTTGAAGATGAACAACTTCACCTAGAATGATAAAACTCAAGAAGTTTTTGAACATTTAAAAATGGTCCTTTATGAAGCTCATGTCTTAGCTCTTCTAAACTTCTAAAAGCCTTTTGTGTTAATGATAGATGCAAGAGGAAAGTAGTTTTATCTTATGAGGATAGGCCTTGGGCTTTCTTTAGTAGAACATTATGTCTTAAACATCAAGGTATGTCGATCTATAAGAAGAAGTATTTAGCTATTCTCATGGTTGTTTACAAATAGAGACATCACATTAAGGTTGACATATTGATTATTAAGACTGAACATGAAAGTCTTAAATACTTATTAGAACAGAAGATCTCTACTCCTTTCTAAAGGAAAGAACTTAGTAAGCTTTTGGGGTTATAACTCGACATTTAGTATAGAAAAGGAAAGGAGAATATAGTGTCAAATGCACTATAACTAAAGGCATCCCATTATGTTGATGCTAAAATTAATAGCGACAATCTTCATAGGATCAATTGCTACCTTTGTATTGAAAATAATATGCCCTAAGTACTT